TGTAATGATTTCGATTCAAGCTTTTTTAATGTTGTTCCTTCTTTGTAAGTTATGTTTTAACTGTGTTAGAAAAATATGTGCTGATCAATGCCTAACTATGTAAATTATAAGTGTAGCAATTGGAGAGGTCCTAAGACAGACCACAGTCTACTTTGTGCTGATAACCTTTTTTTTTAAAAAAAAAAATAAATACAGTATTGATGTCTCTAATAGCACTTTTTGTATTTTAAATATCTCAAATCTTTACTACCTTCCTCCCCTGGTGATTTACATAGTAATTTCTAACAAATTACTCCTTGAAATGCCTGCATTATTTGCCAACCTAATGGAAGAGAAGGTTGGCGTGAACACACACGCAGAAAGAAATGTTCCTCTAAATTCTGAAATAATACTGAGTAGGTATGCTTGGTGATCCTGACAAAAATGATAGATCATACCTAGTTCTCTAATGTCTTGGGTGAAGATGGTGGGGAAAAATAATAGCTGAATTTATATAATCTAACATGCATCTGCTAAACATCATGACGGTCCATCAAGAAATACAAACATCTTGCCAATGCTGTTAGTTTAAAGTTGCTAAAATGTACTGTATTTTGATTCCCATCATAACTTTATTCACCTTTGCTTTATTTTTCTCATATTTACTCAATTATTATTAGTTTCTTAAGACAGTTTTTTCTTTTATTTTTTAGGAATAGTGCAAAATAACAAAAGAAGTCAAAATATTATAGACATACACACACATCAGCAATAATGTCTTGGTTTCTTCTGACATTTGAAAGAAACATCTCAATAATATACTGACAGCTATAGTTTTCTTCCACGATGCTTCCACATGAAAAGGGAACTTTAAAGGAAATCCAGTCAACTCTAATGAAAGCAAATTAGATTTTACGATACAAGTGTTTTTTCTGATTGTGCCCCCCAAAGGCCATGGCAAAACATAATCAGGCAGTCTCTAAATTGGTATACTCCTAAAAATATCTAAAAAATGTAAATGTAGTTATCAGAGAAAAGTTATAGGAGTTCTCTGAAAGATTAGATTTTCAGTAACTCAGATTTGTTTCTGTCAGCCTGTATTTGAAGACCTGTATTTAAAGATTCTGAAATCTACCTATAAAGTAATCTTTTTTTTTCAAGTGAATTGGGCATCGTGTTTTATAGATATCATTAAATAAGTCATGTTGCTGAAGAGTTGCTTGCAGCTAAATTTTCAGTGGGTTACATTTAGCATTCTCAAAGTGTTTGGAGGCACGATCACTGTGTATACAGGAAGGTAAGTTTATGTATGCAAACAGGCACATAGGCTAGAGTAATTGAGCAGATTGCCTAATTATGTTTCTAGACATGCAGTTGCGTATGCAGTCTAAAAGCATATGCACAATTTGGTGCATGCAAATTAATGCAATCACAAGTGTTACTAGTAAATTAAACCTATATATTTAATTTTACCCTTTAGGTGCCAACGATGTCAGATAAGGCGGAGCTTGTGTATTCAGTAATAGTTATTCTATTACTAGACCCAAAGCCCTTTTCAGGAAGTTTAGAAGAATAAAATTTGTCAGTGGAAGAGATTGACTCTTATGTGGCATCATGTATTTATTGTGGCAAAATAGGAACAAATGCAAGAGCATTTATAGTGACTGCAGTGAAATCACAAAATTAAATGGCAGAATTTTAGTAACTGCAAGTTGCAATGATCTGCCTTTTCTTCTTGCATACTGAATTGAAAAATAACAAATAAAAGGAAGAGAAAAAGAAGACTGATTTCTGATAGTGAAGTAGCTGATTATTTACTATTTTTTTCCTCTAACATTTTAAAATGTAAAAATATATTGCTTTATCTGCATATCTCGAGTAAACGTTAACAAATTATTTATATTGCAGTTAAGCAGTCTTTCTGTATCTTATTTCGTGACATTGTGGGCATACACCAATGATCTTAATTCAAGATGGTTTATATCATCACAGTAGTTTCTCAGTTTTCTCCATGTCAATAGTTTGTGTGCTCATTGCCTAGCTGTAAAAAAAATAAATACAACACCTGGTAACAAAGAAATAGTCAACAAGAACAAATCTAATGCAATTAAATAATGGTGAAAGGAAATGTTTGAGTACATAAGTAACAAGCATTATTGATATATTTTATGAAATGCATGTAAGTACCATAACTAGTATTAAAAATGTTTTTAATTGACATATTTGGCTGTCATCTCAGTGACTGACTATCAAAAAACAGCTGTTCAGCAGCTATGATAGTACAGAATCTAGTTTCTGCATCATTGTACTAAAGCTTCTGAACAGGTGTCCCTCCAACACATTTCCATGACCAGGTATCTTGGGATTTATGCTTTCCAAGTGTCATTATTTATAATTTATTTATCATTTTACCTTCCATTCCAAGTTTAGAAAATACAGATATTTCTGTTTTGTAGAAAATTATTAATAGTCACATAGAAACCAAGATTCTGAGAAGAGTGATTTCCTGAAGGTGTCAGGTGAGTTCTGTGTATATCAGGAAACTTTACTCTCTCTTCACCCCTAAATTGAGTACCCTGGGGACAGCCTGCATTTAAAAGCCTAACAAAGCAGAGGTTAGTTGAGAGAAGGTAATCTGACTACATAAAACATTTTCTCTCCATGGGTTGTCACAGACCTGCAGTTTGCGTGCCCTGAGTTTGTTCTAGTATCCACCCCCAGTTGTGGTCCTTCTTAAGACACGTCATTCTTTTTTCTTTCCTTTAAGTGATTTTACTTATCCATTTTCCTCCATCTATAAGGGCTTTTTTCTTCCCCTACCCCCCATCTTTTCTTGTCTTTAAACTTCAGTGAGGGCATGCACAAGGGTGCAGGCATGCTAAAGCCCTGTAATCACCACTAGTCCTTTCTTTGGTATGTTTTAAGCATCTACACCCAACAGCCCCTCTGAGTCTCACATATCCTGCTTCCAATTTATGTTTTTTGCTGATATCAGTGGGGTTCTCCCTGTTGATGTCTGGAACTTTGCAATTGATTTGTGCAGTGTTTTAAAGTTATTGTGTCTCAGATAAACAGAAATTGCATCAGGTTGATAGTTGGGACTCTGGTCCTGTCAGTAACCTCAGGCTACTGGGGCACTTCTGAAAAAATGTGAGCTATAAAAGAGAAAGATGCAGCCATCTGAATAATCTAATTATGCTGGAGCTCATGTGGATGATTGGAAAACTCTTCAGTCGAGTGAGAGGAGCAGCAATTGTCAGATTATTACTATATATTATACATAAGCAAAGATACAGTTCAACTTTGCTTTTCTTTAGTATAAATGAAATGGTTTATACTTAGTCTTCGAATGATACAACTCAGCAGAAAGGATTGTTATTTATTATTAATTAGGGTGGTATGTTTGAATTGTTTCCTTTTGCTGTGCTTCCTGATGGACATAAAAACTTCCTGTACAGATATTTTACCGCTCATTATGCTACATGTAATTCAAGCTATTATTGGCTTTTTTGGCAGTAACTGATAATTTCTGTGTACGACATGTCAGGTCCCTATGTTTTACACTGTAAAAAATTTGTACAGTTCGGAATTTAGCCACAAAACATAATCTGAATAGAAACTTCTGTAACTTACGTGATTTTTTTTTTTTTTCTTCTTGAAGACCACATTTACAGCCAAAATTATGAATAGCATAAAGACATTAGCATAGCTGAGAAATAGTTTTGGTTTTGATCATCACCAGTTTACTGTTAGGTGTGTGTTTTTAGCCTTTTATTCTGCTCATCATAAAACCAGAGGATGAGGAGTTTCTTTTCTCTAATTTAATTTCTTTTTATTATTCCAGACAAGTTGTTCTCAAACAATGATTCATGACTAATTAGCAAAATAATTCTTGATTATCTGTAGGTGAACCAAGCTGAGAGTTCTGCTACATTTAAGAAGATTTGTTTTGAGTTTTTTACGAGAGAAATTTGAACATTTACTACTTGAGTGTGTACTGATAAGTCATTGTTGTATTCTAAGCCTAATAATTTTTAGATTCCTCACTGATATTCCAAACAGAAAGCACAATATAAAAATCATGTGTTATTTTTCTATTTTCTTATTTATATGGAAGGCATTAATAGATAAAGGACATTGTAGGTCAGTCTACGAATCAGGCAACTCATAAAACAGCTGTTTCAGGGTACAATGGCTGCTAAATGCTTTCATAGTTGCAAAAAGCAATTGGAAAAATTCATGAGATAAAAATTAGTTCAAAGCTACAAAGAGAAGACATGTTTGTCTGAAGATGGCCGTATGCCACAAATTACTGAGAGCTAGGAGAATATTATAAGGAAGCATCAGTAATTTATTTTAGTCTTTTAGTCTGACTCAGTGTAGCTTTTTTCTGGGTTAAACTGATTCATCTAGCTGTATCTACTTGTTTGTATAAGCACACACATATACACTTACGCAGATCAATTCTGTGCTCCAGTGAATTACCTTTTTTTTTAACTTTGAACTTTACATTGGGTGCTAGAGCCTGAATTTTACAAAATGTAAGCCGTGAAAGGCTGTGGTCAAAGTGGGCTAAACAGTACTCTGAAGGGCCTGTTTCTATAGAAGTATTTATGGTATCTTTTTGTAATACGTAAATGTTACCTCCTTAAATACCAGTATTAATATAACAGCTCCATTCATACTATTTAAAAACAACAAAAATTAAATACCACAGAAGTCAGGCATCTTTCACTGATCTGTAGGTGTATCAGTCACCAAAGCACCATCTTAATCATCTTTTTCTACTAAGATGTCTTAGAAAGTGAAATAATATGCAGGTATCAAGTATTACAGCAATGAGTAATGTATGAAGGTGAGCAAGTGTGTACCAAAGACTGTGGCAGCTCTTTTCTCAGAAGAAAACTTTATGGCTGTAATTATGTATGGCTTACTATTTGTAAAGGCTCATTAAAGTACCCTGAATATGTTCTATTTTTACTACTGTTTATCAGAATTACATACTTTTTGTTTACTTACAGTATGAAAGAGGCTGGTTTAGGCCATAAACAGTGGAGGGGTGGTCCCATTTCATCAAACTGCAAGCAGTGTCCAGTAGTTTATACCAATCCTGTTTGTGGATCAGATGGTCACACGTATTCTTCTCAGGTAAGATTTAAATAAAGAACTAAATTATTCTTGCATTGTTCTCGTCAATTCCAGCTCTTGGAAAACAAAATACGGTATTGCAACACAAATCAACATTTATTTATTTTGATTAAAATATATATTACAGACTGCAACCTACATCAATTTTAGTATATTGTAAGACAAAAAAGCAAAATGATAGCAAATACCAAGCAGCATGAAATAGTAGTACCCGAAGAAGCACAGTGTAAGAGTGCTCCACAATATAATGGAGCTCCAGGTTAAGTCTATCTCCAACAGAGACCAAGGAAGGGTTTTGAATAAACAAAAAAGTGTGATGTGTCCCCAGTTTAGGGTAGGATCAACATGTTAAGTCAGATTTTCCAGGTGCCCATTGAGGGGATGCTTCTCATTGCAAGCACCTAGGCTTAGGTGTAACATAGTGAGATGAAAAATATAATAATGTAAATAATTGTTGCATATCTTTCGCTGCAATGGAATTTCATGTATTTTAAGACCATAATCAAATCTTCCTCCTGTATTTTTCAACCCTCCTGTCTTTTCTGTCATACTTAATTGGAGATAGAATAGTAATTAAAAAATATTACTGTCAGTTTACCCAGTCTTTCTTGGAGAAAGATTTTGTGCTAGTCACACTGCTGTCCAGAAGCCACAGGACTGCATTAGTATGGCGCTCAGGTGAAATTTAGGAGATGGAGGGACTTGATAATGCTGAAAACAAATAAATTTGTTTAGCACCCTCTCTTAAAACTTTCAGTAGAAGAATGTTTGGCCAATTTTAACAGCTGTATCCTCTCTAGGAGCACACACACATGTGCTCTTGATGAACCCATTTTTATCAGAAATGGCATGCAATTCAGTAGTGCAAGAGGAGCTACTGTATTCTGTCATTCTGACACCATCTCCTTCCACTAACAAAATGTTTCTAATAGTAGATAATATCCAGTGCTTCAATAGTGTTCATTACTTACAAAGAAAAAATTTCTATATAGCATTTTAAGCCAAATATTTTTAGGGTATTTCGCAGTATTTAAAGATTTCAGATTAATATCTGCTGTATTGGTTTTTATGTTGTTTTTCTACTGCAATCACAAACTACGTCTGAATTTTACAAAAAAGGATTAGGTTTTCCAGGAGTGTCTGGCTATTGGATTGAACTCTAAGTATCGTCTCCAAGGATATTTTCTTCTTGGTAAAATAAAAGCATCAGAATATAACTAGTGTTTCATCAACCTTGACAATTCTTATGCAACCCTAAATCATATATTAGAAAATGTTTTTCTTAAAACCTGAATATTTAGTTATAGCGAACTAGTCAAGAATCTTCTTCTTCCTTCAGAAAAATAAAAAATAAATACAAATTATAACTCTTTACACCAGGATATCTGAGGTCTGGCAGATGAATTTTAGACTCTGGCTTAGCAAAAAAAATAATTCCTTTCCAGTGACAATATGACTTAAAGTTTTAATTCAGGTATTTGAAAATATTCTTATTTTCCTTCATAGTAATCTCCTGTCTGTGTTTTATCAAGAGTTTGAAATGTGCTTGCATCTTACTATGCATTAGATGATACTGTCATTTAGCATTTCTTTTGCTGTGCCATGTGAAGGTTCAGTCAGTCTTTAAGCCCCAAGCCTAGCCTGCACATAGATATAAAACAGGTGGTAGTTTCTACAAGTTTGCAATTTAAGTAGACAAGGTAGATAATTCGATATAGGTAATACTGAATGAGCAATTTTTTTTTTAAATACTGTATACTTTAACCATTACAATCTCTCCCTACCTTCTTCCTAATGTAATATAAACATCACAGCCAGTTTTAACCTCATTGCTTGTTTCCTATATTATCATACAGGAATGCTGTATTCTGAATAGTCCTATAGGCAGAAGTGACCCTTATGGCCTCTCGTGGTTTGGTCTGAAGTAGACGTACAGAAGTCTATAGATAATGATGAGATGCAGATATTTTTACATCAGTTCATGTGTTAAAGGTGAGGGTGTTCTTCTCCAACAGAATGATGAGAAATGAGTGGATTAAATAAACTTTGCTTCCATTCCAGTGCATTATCAGAGCTGCAGTCAGTGCAATGTACATATTATCCAACCTCTGTCTCTTATGTGCATATAATGCAGAAGTAATCAAAGAGCTTTTGCAGGGTTTTCCTTTTGTCTTCCAGTACCTCATAATGGTAGATTTCAAATCTAAGTTTATGGCAGCAAAATGCTAAAAAAAAAAAGTTAAAGACCACAGAAGATCTGTATTAGTCTGTAAATATTTATTTTTATTTCTTTTCGATAATGTTATGATTTCATATTCCATGGTTCAGTTGCATCAAAATAGAGGTCTTTGCAAGGTTATTTCAGGAGCAGTCATTTTAAAAATTGACATAAAGACGAATATTTGTGTTCCTTTACTCCAGGAAAAGTTGAGTTTCATTGTGTCATCAAGCTCCAGTAGGAGTTTATATAGCAATTTTCTTGTATTTAGAATGCATTTGTCAATGACCGTGGCAAATTGTGTAATATATTTTCTGAAAACAAGTCAGTAAATAGTAATAGTATTGTAGAACACAGCCAGGCAGCTGGCAGTTATTGGATGGATGCTACTTTGGGAGTATGCCCTCCCTTTTCAGGCCAAGTCCATGCAAATGTTTGTATTAAATTATGGAACTCTAGATATTTCATATATGTTTTGCTTCGGGAAAAAAAAAATTATATAATGGGTTGACGATGTAGAAAGAAAGGTTAACTGTACCAGAGTCAGGTAAGGATGTTTTGTTTCCCATTCATTTTAGCAGGTCAGATTAGGTTTACTGTGTTGTCAGCCCACAATTAGTCACATGCAGTCAGTGTAAAGAAAAAGTAGCGGGTGTAAGATATTAATTATTAGCATTACAAGAATGTTGAAATAAAAATATTATGTACTAAAATGTTGAGTAATCAAAGTGAACGTTAATTATTATGTGAGAAGAAATCCAGTATAAAGAGATCCTGCTGTTTCCTTACCAGGGTGGTGTTACAAACAATTTTTAGTTAATAGCCTTTAAATAATACTGTGTGCGTTTTACAGTTCATTAGTCTAGTTTTACCTTCTGCACTTCTCTGAGCTTTGGCACTTGAAACTGCATTATTGATTTTAACTCTAGGAATTCTCAAGCAGTGCTGTAGCATAGGGTTTTGGTACCCCTATGTATTTTGCACCCCATCCATTCTCCAGGGAAAATGCAGTCACTGCTGCCAGGAAAGCTTTTGCAGCCTGTTTCTAGCTTCATCTTTCCTGGGTTTAATAAGGAAATAAAAAGGACATGGAGTGTAGCTCGGATGGGATGTTTTGTGACTGCAGTCCACTTCCTGCCATTATTTTGCCCAAGAATGCAACTCACTGCTCTCCAGCGTGCATACAGAAAAGCTGGTGTAACTGGATGAGATCATGATGCTCAGGTTTGAATGCTTCTGTTGGAACAGTTCTCCCATATTGTACTATATTATAACTCGGCCTTCTGAAAAATGTCCACTGGCAAAAAAATGTGGTCACGCATCAGATGAATTTGTCTTTTGAGTGGTTTTTGTGTATTTTAATAACAGCTCTGGTGTTGGGTATAATAGGCTGAAGTTTTCTCTCTTAGGTTGAACACGGTCCACAAATAGTCCTGCTGTAACAAAATCTAACCTTACATAGGATCAATGAGCAATGTTTTGAGTATTTTGAAAGGAAAACACTACAGAAATAAATTAATCTTTAGAATATGCCCATTGCTCCATGATTTTATTCCAGAATCATCTTGGCAGTAGGTCCTAGATCAGTTTTATTGTTAGCAACAATTTGCTCAAGTTGGTTTCACACTGACAGTGAATTTGTTACGAAATATTTTTTCTCCTACCTATGAAAACTTTGTGTGATTGATGGCATCCCTGTGGGTATAAATAGCAATAAAAATCATGTTTTACAAAAATAATGGGTCTAAACAAGCTTCTGACAATAAGATGAAAAAGGTATAGAAAAGCAAACAGTCAGAAAAAAGGATATGAATTCTTGATATACTTTTACAGGTAGATAAGTATGTGGATTTAGATTTTTTTTATGTTTGTTTAATATAAAATTATATATTGGAGTTACATTAAAATTTGCATAAACTTTAATACTTCAATAAAAATAAAAAACCACTAGTTTATGGACCGGAAAACGTTTTCTTAATCCTTCATCTATGTAATGCCTTTGCATTGTTTTTTGAAACAGTATTAAGTTTTTTCTAGATCTGAAACAATCTAGGCTGGAAGGACAAACCAATAAAAGAATAGGACAAGTAGGGGAAAGCAAAACAAGTGTCAGTGTTTATTAAATGTCTCTCATATCACAGCAGCAGTATAGTGATACATAATAATGAATGTAAAAAGAACTTATTCAGAACCTGTTCCTGAAAATCTAAATTTGTATGTTAACTGTCAAACAGGACAGCCAGTAAAACAAGAAAAATCAAATTACTTAAAGTGAAGTTGAGAAGACAGTTAAAGATTCAGATTTCTTAAACTGTTAGGTTGCATTAGAAACCTCTGTACTTATCTGGGGATTAAAGAACAGTCTTTCTCTGAATGGTAGCATTAACCTGCACAAGTTAATCTTTTGAATATGGTATTCAAAATGTTGTAACTAGAATTACAGCTAAAATAATCAGAATCATTTTGCCACAAGGATTCTTTTCCAGGAGAATCTATCAATGTCATCTGCAGGCAGAAATGCACAGGGGCTGAATACAGGAGCTGCCACTGGCATAGTTATGCTTGTGGAGTGATGGTGCGGAGCAGAAAACAGTTTTGAAAAGAAACCAATAGAAAGATGGGTCTGGAACATTAAGAGATAATAAATAACGTTCTTAAGTTTGCATAGCTGTTTGAAACATTAAGGCACCTGAGAAAACAGTGGAGAAGATAGTGATGAGCTGTGTCGGTTGCAAGAAGGGGATCAGAAGAGAAGATTGTCTCAGGTTTACCAAGCAGAAGC